AGTTGTTAACTTCTGATTTTTTTATAACGGTAATGCATTCTCTATCGCCAGAATGCTCAACATGTTTTAAATTTATGTTTATTGACATTTAAATTGGATATACACCAATTAAGATATTATTTTGTATCTTCCAAAAAAAATGTTCTTATTCTTTGATGACATAAAACATTACATTGTTTTTCTGATACTTTAGTATCATAATTCATATAAAACATGGAATAAAAGTTATCGTGTTTACATTTCGATGTGCTTGTTTTTTAATAATATTGTACTCTTCATTACTGTTTTATATACAGGGTGTTAATTAATATGTGTGTTGCGTGAATTCCCTCCTTCACTACATAAATCTTCTTCTTTTCTTCTGTCTAGAAAAATCAATTACTTATTATTATCATTATTATTGCAAGAAATTTATATACGCTAAATCTTTTTATTTCTTCATTTCTTTGTTTGCACTTATACCATTTAATGTATTTATTAGTATTTTTTTATCTAATATTGAATGCTATTACATTTTAATATTCTGTTATAATATTAGCAATCTGTTATAAGAAAATTCCTAAGAAACAATAAATAACTAACTCTTACGTTTATTTAAATAGACACAAAATATTCTATCTGTCTATTAAATTAATCTATTATCATTTTTATTGGATCAAATAAATAATCCACTTCACGTGAAAGAATTAAAGTTGGTAGCAATAAAGTAGTATTCAGCGGGTACAGGTAGGTGGTATCCGGCCAGTTTGGTACTTCGATGGATATAACTCGCCTTAGGAAACTGCACAAAGACGGAAATTTTATAAAACAGGATCCGGGGCAACTTTAACAGGTGTCTCTTGAGCCTCTCTCGGTTCTTCTTTTCTTTTATGCATACGCGTACAAACTGCTTCGCATGCAATGTATTATTAATCTCTCAACTGTAACGAGCTGCATGGATGCAGGGTAAGAATATCATGTTCGAAAGACATTATGTATCGATAATTATTGACGGTCCTTTAGAATAATTTGGTCTTTGATCAGTTTTTATCCTTTCATTGAGAACCCAAGACAACCGCACTAGACAGGCTACTAATTTTATTATAAAATAAAGAGAACAAACAATAAAATATGATATAGCAAACTTAAAACATAAATATTATTAAATACAGGGTGCATAATAAAATTGGTTTAAAAGCGTCATGAAAGAATATCAAAAAGAAAAATTGTGATAGCAATGACATTTTTTGAATTGAATTTTAAGGTTGATAGGCCCGAAAATCCTAAAAACGATATGACGCCCTCGATATATAATACGTCAAGGGACTAAAGTGGTACTTTTTATCCCGAGGCCATAAGTTTAATTCTAAAGGCGATAAGCTTGCCAAAATGGACTGGGGAAAACTTGCCAGTTTCATCAATACATGGATCAGATAAAGATTATAGGAAGAAAGGTCTGAGAGTATGCCAGTCAAACTTCTTGTCAAGGTGCAAAGAAAGTCATTAGTAAAGCTAATACTGTAGATGGTAAAATAATATAAATTACTTTATAACAGTTGGAAGATCTAATGATGACAAAATGCAGATTCAGAGAATCTTTAATGTGTACGTCAAGCAGTATAAAATATAACTAATAACTTTATTATCATCATCATAAACTAAGAGTAGTAGAAGATATATAGTGAGTGAAGATTCTGTAAGGACAAAACCTTCATTCACATTCTGACTAAATGTGTAGCACTCCAGAATCCAAGGACACTATACCTAGGAGCATATCAAATTGAAGAGGGAGATTTACCTAACTTGAAGCCATTTCAAAACCTACACTTCCTTGAGAAGATAGAATTGGAAGAGTAGTTATGACATCGAAACATTTCTTTGCTGCATTAGCGACAGAAGGAGACACAATAGATCTTTTAACACCCCATTCTCATCATAACATCCATTAAACAAAATTTTAAAATATAGCTAGTCGAGTACAAAAAAATGAATTTACTTGGACATTAAGAATTTGCAGAAGTTATATTTTACAACCTTCAATGAATTATTAATTTGATTATCGGAACCAGAAACATAGTCATTATTTATTTAATTGTTTAATACTTTTGTAGAAACTTTCTCAAGTGATATCTTCGAATAAACTCATCCGATAATAATTTTTTAACCACAAATCATAAACAAGGTATACTTGAAATTCCGCATTGGTTTCACCTGTTATGCTTGACTAACAGACCGGTTATCAAAATATATTTGTCGGTAAATCCGTGGTTAGAAAAGAATTCTTCATTTATTGTTTTGCTCATTTGTTTATTATTTATTTTAATATAATTATATTTTTTGTATAGAAATACACTATTTATATCAAAATGTACTGATTATGTTATTTAAATTTTGGCGACTTCAAGCTTCTTCACTTTAGTATGTTAAGAATCTGGCGTGTTCCTCCACCCACCATTCAATTTGGCAAATTTGTTTTATTACATTTTCTCTTTTAAATTTAACGGAATTAGTTGTTTATTTAAGTTGAAGCCCATATAGCAGCTTTTGGTTTAGTGTTTTTTTTATGGTTTTACTCAATGTCACTTTTGTATCTTGTACTAGTTTAATCTGTGGTTGTCCAAATGGTGCAATCCAAGGCTTTGCAGTCGCACAGTATATGTATCTTGTTCCTTATGACATAATCGGCATAATGAGTGCATTACATACATCTTTTTTCTTCAGGTGCATTTTTATTGGTGCGTGCCCAGTCATAGGTCCAGATGTTATTATTCTCAATTGGTTCCTATTCAAATAAAGCGATAGTAGTTCACCTGTTCTTCTTCTGTATTTGTCATATTTTGGTGTAATTTATATTGAATCTTATATTTTTTGCATTTTTATTATCACAACTATATCATTTGACATGTCTTAGATGATTTAACTTTTATCTACAAATGTTGAAGCCCCTTTCTTTGTCGGTAATAAAAAAATGACTACCAAATCGCACAAAAATCCAATTAACAAAGCTATTACAAACGACAGCTGCTTGTGTTATTTTTATAAATGGATTTACATGGTATATATATATATATATATATCAGTTGATTTGACCACAAGGCACACCCTGTACGAAAGTAAATTGCAGGGAAGTTAAAATTAATCCCGCATCATAATGGTCCATTGTAAAAGTGATTTTATTGTTTATACTTTATGAAATCATTGTTTTGGCTATACCTAAGACAATCTTTTGTTGTGTCAACGGCCAATGAAATCGAATTCCTCAGTTCCGACGAAGGGAAAATATAATGGGGACCGAAACCACAAACGCTGGAATCTATTTTAAGTTCTCATGGTACTTTTAAACCAAAAAGATTATTACCGAAGTGTAAAAGCAAAGCGTGCAGAGTTAATCGCTTTTTCAATATTATTCTTGTTTTCTCATTTTTATTTAACATTGGGCACGATTTGTGTTATGGTTTATTTTATATCCATGAAGTTAAGAACTTAAATAATATCACAAACGTTTAAAACTGAAAATATTTCATTGCTATAAAATAATATATAATTAGTAAATATTATCATTAATTTTTTTGAAAATTTCTAAGCTTTAATTGTTGTTCCTTTTGGGCTTCTATTTTTATACAGTTTCTCGCCCAATAAAAGTCCAATAATTTCACTGCACCGAGCCTCATGAGCATTTGGGGTTAACATTTGTGGAGCAACCAATTCATAGTAATGATGCTAGAGCAAGATAAACCCAAAACATTTAGTCGTTAACGGCTGATGCTGCTTTGATAATAGGGCTTTTCTTATAGTATTATGTCGCGAAAAATAGCGTTGGAGACATGCAACTGTTTCCTAAACGGAAGTTAGTTTAAATTGTTGCACATTTTAGCACTTTAACGCATGTGCATTGTTGTCTCACATTCTCGAATAGTTCTATACAGGTATTGTGGTTTTTTAAGATTTTGTGCTCCCGAAAGATGGTCTGTAGCTATACGGCGTGAAGGGTGGATTGGCCACACTGCACTTAGGCCTCACCGCACTTAGGCCTCACCAGACCTATTGTTTACACTCTTATTAAAAATTTATCTTCAAAGTTATCGCCATTTATAACCGGATTGTTTTGAAATACCTACAAATACAAGATTATCGCTGATACATTTTAGATAAAATGAAATCAGGTAGTTTTTATTTTTAGGTAAGAATTGTTGGAAATGGCTATGATGAGGCTGTCATGGTCCGTCGCACCGCGAAGTCACCGACCGGTCTACTCGGTGGACCCTAGCGAAATGATTACGGCACACCAAGCTCTCTTACTGTTACTCCAACTTCATACAGGGAGAAACCCATCATTTTTAACAACGTATCTTTCACAGCGACAAAAACCATAACCATAATTACACACAAAAAAACACGCTCAATAAATTGCGGTGGAGGGTTATTCGAGGAAACTTGTTCCGAACTAAACAATAATAATTATATCATCAGATTCCATTTACAAAAATACCTGAGGATAGAAATTTAAAAATGTGTTATTTAGTTTATTTTAGAAGCCGTATATACACTTTGGTGATATTATGCATGCATATTCCACCGTTGATAAATTTGGAGATCTTATTAACCAGTCAAGTGTCGCTATGACAAAATTTTCTAAAAAAGTCACGTATCCTTATCGGAAGCAAATTTAGATCAACAATTAACACCTGTCATACGATTTCATTTAAAATTTATGATCAAAATGTCACTGTGACTTCGGCTTTAGTGCTAATGTCACTATTTACCAGTAGAAAAGTTTAAATACCCTAAATTTCATTAATTAAAAATAAACCGTTCAAAAGATACATGGGGAGGTAACTAACTGTAGATAAATCTATAGATATATTCTGTAGATTTTTGCTTACATATACGTAAAATAATAAACATTTATTATGCGCTTTTATCTTTTAAGAGTGATATAAAAATCTGAGAAACTGAGTACTTTTCATTTTTATTTGTTCCAAATCAAAACATACGCTAATGTATGTATTTATTTGTTCCAGGGCCTTATACGGAAGCATCATGTTACTTCCCACAAGAGTTTCAAGGAGAATTTCTGATGCAAAGCCCTACACCCATGGGCATTGGTATACAATACAGTCCACTCAACATCACTGAAAATTCGATACCTATTTGGGGAAATTGTCATCGCAGAATTGGAAACAATTTCATTCTTATGTTCAAGTAAGTTATCTTCCTAATTATTTTTAATTATTTAAGAAATATTTCAACAAAATCACGGGATCTGATAAAATAAGAAATTTAATGAAAATTAGTAACTTTTATGACAACATAGGTACTAGATCAGTAACATTGTTTTAAGGTTATTAATATTAGGCATTCTAACGTCCTGTTCAAATGGTTCCCTGATGAATTTAACAAACGTTCGTTTACTAAACTGTCAAGTTTTTGTATATAATTAGTTAAAATAACTTTGTTCTTTGATGGTGAATTTTGAAAACAAACATGGTGTAATATGTGATTTTATGAATAGTTTTCTCTTGACACGTAAAAACTAGAGTTATTCGGTTTACGAGAAGATAGTTTTTGAATTAGATTGCTTAGAAGTAAAATGTGTGTAATAAAAAGAATATACATTGCAAATTGCAATCGAACATGTATCAACTCAATCACAGAACAATGTAAGATTGAGGTTTGTATGTCATCTTCATCAGTCAACCTTTTTGGTTAATTACTTTTAGCCAACTGATGACATCTTATTTAGTCACGTGGGTTACAGTTATTGTTGAAGACTCTGTAGATCAACTAAATAGTCAACGATAATTTAAATGTTAGTTGTGATGTAAAAAATGATGAACGTTTTAGGTTCTTAATAAAGAAAACTCAAAATAAATACGGATAAATATTAGTAACAACTAATTTCATTTATACAAATAATAACCTTTTATTTTTATTAAGATACGTACTAAGTATTAGTAAGTATATCAGTTTAAAAAAAATACATTATTTCATAAATAAAGGTGGGCCAAACGGAAATGATACAAATGTTTGTCCAAAGTTATGCTGTGACGATATTTTTAAATGGTACGCCCTACATCTGATTCACAATTTGTTTAGAAGCATTTTTATTTGAATATAGTTGTATTTCCAAAATATACGATATTTTCTTTAATGCTCCTTTAAATACAGGGTAAACTAAAACTCGAACTAAATAATAACTCTAAGAAAATGTTTAGCTGAATTTGCTTTAATTTCTATAAATAAATAAATACACATTTTCTTTCCTCCTTACTAATTTAGGAAGTGTGTACATTCAGTCATTTATTTCATTTTTACCTTTTTTATAATGGATACTGACACTGTGCAATTAGCAATTCGTTGTTTTCAATGTCTTCGGGAAATAATGACCTTCCTAAGTAATTTTATTGTTCTTTTCTTTGTCATTGTCATCTACTATATACAAATTAATAAAAAATATTCTATTAATATAATAAAAAATATATTACTCTTATTTCTACTAAGATTTCATTAAAAAATTCTTCAAGGTATATTATTGTACCTATATGATATTCCTTTTTAGCAATTTCCCGTTTGTAATTTCATAATGTGTAAAATAATATTAAAATTATCAGAGCGCCACATCTATATGCATTTTGTTATTGTTCGTTTTTCTTTTAAATGAATATAAAGTTTCACCACTACTCCTCAACATTAATGGACGATTAGAAATTAAATTTAAATCTGAAGTCACAAAAGTAAAATAATGGGAATATTAATAAAGTGACATATTATTATTTTCAATTTCAAATCTATGGTATTTATTTTTCAGTTATAGTGAAACTTTATGTATAAGATGTTTGCATCTAAATCTACGATCGTCGAATGTTTTACAAATTTTCGTTGCAAATGAAGATACGATATCAAAATGTTTCACTAACGAGGAAGCAGCGGAAGCAAACTGTCCTTCTGAACAATCTTTAGTTACAAGAGAAGCAACGGAAATATTATTATTCAGTAAGTTATTTCGTAATAAAAGTACCAATGTTTTAAATTAATTGCAAAGCTGTAATTCTTCTCATAATGGAGGAACGCTATCTTATATAAAATGGCTTTCTGTTTCAATTATAAATGTTACACAGATGCCGCTCCATACAATAAGTTGTTTCAATTATGCCCATAAAAGTTTTGCCAAGTATCGGAAATACAGCTGAACGTACAGTTGAAAATTATTTGAATGACAAATTTGGTTGAAGCAACTGACAACACTGTTCGACAAAAGTTAATTTAATAATAATTAATCTGGATTTTAAAAAATACCCATGGAAAGGTTAAACCTATCATTAAAGAAAGGAAACTAATTCCAAATTATCAGTTCGGTTTTAGAGAATGTAAAATGTGATTGAAATATCCATTTTCCTTGATGTTGCGCAGGCTTTTGATAAAATATAGTTAAACGGCTTAAAACATTTCCTAATAAATGAATCTCCCTGTATGTTCATTAGTAATAATTAATGTTGGATTAAGCGAATAGTACCCTGGATGGTTACAATCATTTTTATTTATGAAAATATACAAAATTTCATTAGAAAAAGACAAAAATATAAAATTATGAACTTTGGCACCCTATACTGCTCAAAACTATCCATATAATTGAGTTGACACAATAGGTAACTATTTTATTAGAATAATGAAAGCAAATTGTCAGATTTTATGTAAGGTAGCGCGCCCGGTCCTTTGTAATACTTTTAAGAGCCTGTCGCAAAGAAGTGGGGACAATTATTTAAGGTTAAATTGTTAAAAAATGATGGGTTATTAATTGCTAAGCAGAAGATCATGGTTTGCACTGGTTTAGTTATAATTAAGGTGACTAAATATCATTTAGAAGCATTATATTATTCTAGAACTCGTCATAATACGACAATATCTCACTATCATCTACAATTTTTCTTTTTAATTACTTGAAATTAAAAGTACTAGAGGCTAGCTTCGAAAGTTCATTCAGGAGAACTCTAAAATTATCGTTTAGAAGCATTATATATTTTATAACTCATCATAATACGATTTTTTATTTATAATTATCACTTGAAATTAATCAAAAAGGATTAGAGGTTAAAACTTTTCGGAATTTCATGCATGGGAACTCTAGTTAAAATTAAGAAGCATTAAATATTTTAGAACTCATCATAATACGGCAGCATCTCACTATCGTCTATAATTTTGATTATAATTATTACTTGAAATTATTTAAAAAATGCTAGAGGCTAGAACACTTTGAGACTCTATGCAGGTGTGGTCTAGATATCATTTGAAAGTTTTATATATTCTAGAACTCCTCATAATTCGACAGAATTTCACTATCGTCTATTATTATTCAGAAAGTGTGAGAGGCTATTCAACAGTTTTCTGGTTTTAATTTAGACGAAATATATCTTCTAGAACTCGTTATATTCTACAACATCTCACTATTGTCTAGAATTTTTGTATATAATGGTCTGGTGTTTAACAATTAATAAACTATTATTTTATTTCAATTCTGCTTAAAATAATCTGCCCCTTTAGGTTATTGGAGCCGGATGTCAATCTATAATTGTTTAAATTGGTAAATTTACCAAATACAGCTTTACAAGACTACTTAAAATGAGTTGTTTCCAAAATAGGCAAACTACCAATCCTTTTTTTTTTTTCCTATCGAGTTTAAACAAATTAATATTCAAGGTGTATATTTACTTTTAATTTTTCCAATTATAGACATTAAACATGTCTTTGCCTTTTTTAGAAACGAAAGACACCTTCGGTTCTTATACGACCAGACACTACTGTCCTATAGATGGTAACTATCACTTAAGCTACAGGGGAACTGCAAAAAAACATTCAAACCAATGCAAAGGCTTTGATTCCATGGCAAATTCTTGTCCGTCTGGTTCAACATTGAATTTTATGTTGAGAAATTGTACTTTTGAGGGATACGGTAAGATTCTCTTATTTGTTTGTCCATTTTAAATTTAACGTAATTAACTTTTTAGATATGAAATTTGAATGTTTGGCACATTGGAGAGGTCTGGATGATGAAACTTATGTGGTTTTTACGGATAGTAGACATTTAACAAATCTTAGGCCTAAATATAGATGCGCAGTAAGTAATTTAACGAAAACAGGTAATTTCAAGAAAAACAGAAATTTTTTTAATTTCTAAATCTAAATGTTCCTCCTTGGATCACTCTTTGCTTAATGTTTAACTGCCGGACATAATTAAAATAACAGTAATAATAATAAAAAAAGGAACAGCTTGCTAATCTTGCAAAAAATTGAGCACATTTCAAATTCTTCGTTCCTATTGCGACACCCAATTAAAAAAATCACTGTTATCTACAATATTTAAATCGTAGCACCTTTTATTATAAACAACATATTTTCAGATGTATAAACAAGACCCCAAAACAGGTAAAATCGAGATGGCTTTATCCAGGGACTCAACTTGTACCAACGGATTACATAATATTACTTCCGCTTTCGAAACGATGATTCTGAAACCAAAAATAGAACGACCATGGCCCGCAGAAGTGTCTTTCGAAATGTGTAGCTTCCCTCAATGGATGTCCGGTGATTGGGAACATGTTAGAGTAAAATCTGATACCATGATTTATAAAGATCACAATTCTTTTAAAACCCATACCATCAGATGTGTGGCAGTATTGGAAGACAGCGATAAGTATCTGGTGTTCAGTAGGACCCAATGTGATGAAGAATCGTATAACTGTTTGCGGTTAGCTAACAGAGGCAATAATATTTTAGAATTTCAGCTTGGTACCAATAGTAGTATTAACAAAGATGATGTATTTACTATTTGTTCGGACGAAAATTTTCAATCGGATCAATGGATTACTCAAGGTCGTAAGTATTATTTAAAAGACAGTTGAGAAGTTTGTTCTATATATTTATCTTCTAGGCCTCGAGATTCCTCCAGGTCTATCGACTGGAATGTGTCCAATAACTGGAGAATATACAGGACGGATTCCAGACGCCACAGATCTTTGTGCCAAATTATGGTCAGACTGCAGAGCTCCAGAGCTTATGTACTATCAAGTATCCCACTGCGAGTCTGAAGAAATTTTCGAAGAAAGGGAGTACCAATGTCTGGGACATTGGAGGGAACGAAATTTGCTCTATACTTACACTGAAAGAAAGGATGTATCTGCTGGTACTTACGAATGTTTTGTCGGCTCGATTATCACGGAGGGTGAGATTTACATCAAAGAAGCTGGCGAACATTGTCAGCGAAATGTGGATCCGCTTAGATATGGAATGAAACTGATTAAAAAACAGCCGTTATATTCTTGTATAGATCGAAGTACCACGCCTAAACACATACCACGTATGACAACTAGAAGGTCTACAACGAAGCGGCCTAGTGAAACATTTGTTCCTAAAAGAACAACACCTATACCAGATTTCGGTGAGTACACATTTAAATATTCATTATATATATTTTCTGTTTTTACTTCAAGAATTCCGTATTCATGTTACCTGGGCCAGCACTATTAATTAGAATCTAAAAGTGAATGGTCGAGTGAACTAATTAGACAAAAACATAACCCTGATGGGTTTCGAGATTAAATTCCTGATTTCACCTTCTCCTAAATTATTATATAACTTGTCTAGATTTTGTATTTGTTGGAACCTGTTTTTATTATTATTTTCACCCGAAAAAGTAAAAAGTATTTATTTTTTTCAGTGTAGATTATTATTATTACTACTATACGTAAAAGTCTAAGAAACATTTTTTTTACTTCGAATGACACACAAAGATAAAAACACCGCCTTATAAATCGTAAATCTGTAGTAGGTATGTGGCTATGTGCCTCTTTTGATACTTCCAAAAGATAAATGATCGTATATAAACATATCACATTCGTGTGGGTGGATCGACTACATAGCTGCGCCCAGAAATGCGACAAATTACTTAAGACGATAAACCTGAATACAAATCCCACATTCTACATAAACAGTTTGGAAACAATAAGTTCAACGCTTTGTAGAAAACTAAAATGTTATATCTGCCAATTTTTATTTAATATTTTACCAATCAAAATAGGGATATTTGATTTTTTAATTCATTGAAAAAAATGTTATTTTTTGCATTGTTTTTATTTTTGTATGTTGTTTTAATTATAACTAGCTCAATTATACAGGGTAATGTCGGTGTCCAACCAAAAATAAATAATATTATCTAAAACATTAAAAATTACGCGCTAGGTAGACTAATTCTACACATTTATTAGTCTTATGGGAAAAAAAGTGGCCTGGTACAGCTAACTGATGAAAGCCAGGAGGCACTGTCAAACAAAGAAAGTGTGTACCTTCTTAAACATAGAAGGAGCGTTTGACAACACGAATCTGTCAAAAGAGCAGTTGAATAAAGAGGAGTAGGTATAGGAACACGTCCAAATGGATGACAGACATCATTATCTGTACAACCAAAGACTCTCCACAACGAATTGGAATATATCATCCTATGTGATATAGTTCAAATAGGATTAGAAGAAGCTAGAAAAGAGGTGGGAAGAACCCCCCCCCCCTCCCAAAACACCACTAGTAATAAAGGTGAGGAGGAGAAGGGGGGGTCGCAGGGCCGCCGAGAGCCAGGTCGGGCATCGGGACAATTTTCCAGGTCGGGTCCCACGACAATTGTATAAAAAAATTAGGCCCTCTCAATATCACAATTTCTAAAAAAAAAGGTCTTCAAGCAAAAACTTCTCGTCCTCTTTACCTCCCTCTTGTGCAACGGTACAAAAGGTCCTCGCACCAGAGCTGCCGGGCCCCGGGAATTGGACCCGACCCTGCCTCAAATATGTTTAGTGGCACATTCATTTTAGTAACAAGATACGATCAAAAGTATCTACGTCTTTTTTTTTTTTTCGACTCACTATCATGTCTAGCAGATGATGGCATATACTTTTTGTTTTGGGAGTCTTTTTTGTCTTTAACGACGAGTCATCTTTCTACAAACGACTGCATTTAAAAAAACAAAAAAACATATTTTGGATGAATCTACTTTATCAGAAACAATTACTATTCCGAGAAGAAAAGGTTTCTGTAAGAGGTAGCAAAATATGAAAACTAACCTGAAATTTTATTCAACTAAACCTTGAATCGTTTAGAATTAATTTTTTATTAAATCGATAATTTTTCTTACTAAAGATTTTTTTTTAGAATCCAACGATATTCCTGACTTGCCCAGGGAAAAAACAAAGGTGGGATCATCGGGCATTTCGATATACCTTAACAAATATTTGTACATAGTTTTATATTTATTGTTTAAATATTTTTAATTTATTTCTTTAGAACTTTTAGAAAATTATTATGACTTGGTCTTGCCAGAAAATCTACTACTATTTCTCTATTTATATCAGAAAAATTGTTACCGATACTTACCTAACATCACACTGAAAAAATATACAATTTGATAATGGTTATATTAAAGAAATATTGCAATAGGCAGACTATTTATGTTTTGAGACTATTATATTGCCATATTTTAGCAGTCTATCAGTGTATTGTTAACAAACGAACTTTGACTTAACTTATTTTACACATTTTAAATATTTTATAGTCGAATATATGTCTTGTGCAACTATTTTCCCTTAAAAGATGGTGTTTCATTGAAAACGCAAAAATATAAAAAATAATATTTAGGTGGACATTTTGGCGTTTTCATACTTGTAATTAGTTTCACCCATTCTTCCCTAAGCCAACCCCTTATAACTATGCCGAAATATGTCCCCCGTAATATTATTTTCGACGTTTTTTTTTTTTTTTTTAACTAGCAAATCGAAAAAGTTATACAAGCCATTGTTCACTATTAATTATTTGTAGCGTATAGAAAACTTCAACGAATATACCCACACCAAATAAAACAAATTGATTTGGGTAGTATTATTAGGTAATCTAGATTTTAGATAAGTGAACTGATTTCCAAAAAAAATGCGTACGGAGTGTGATGTAGATAAATTTTATTGTTGGCTTTTGTCCATAAGTATGTTGTCCTAGTGATGTTGATTCTATTGTGATTTAAATTTATTTATATACGTATTTGTAGTAAAATGTACTTAAGGACATAAAATTGTTTTATTTGCACATTTGGATTTTAATGAATTCCTACAATTTTCCTTATTTCCTCGATCTATAAACATATATCGAACTCTAGAAATTTGACATATCATTGCACTCTGTAAATAAAATTAATGGAACTGGCAACAAAGAAGTGCAAAAAGATTTGCTGGACATGGACTCCGATCCACACAAAGATCAAAGGAAACGAGGTAGCAGACAGATTATCAAATTTGGGAAGGTAGAAAGATGAGATAGATATAAAAGAATTATGCTATAGAGATTTATTACATAGAGCAAAAAATATGGGAGTGGAATGCAAAATAAAAGGACAACACTTACATATCCCAGAAAATCATGGTTTCACGACGTAAATTTAACTATGAATCGAATTACTCCAATGTGAAGATGTAGAATCGGACAATTACTGGACACCAACACACACAGAATTGGACAGCTGGACTCCCCCTCCTGCCAATGTGATCAAACAGGTTCATTACAATACATATTTTTTGAATGCAAAAAATATTACAAAATGCTTTATAAAATACCCCTGCTTAGTTGGTTACATTAGGAATCCTGATTCCTTAGATGCTTCACTAATAATACATTTTTAAGTAATAGCAACATATAATAATTATAAATTACAGGAAGAAGAATATATCAAAAGTAAGGACCGGCCGTATATCTTAAAGGAAAAATGTTATGTTATTTGTCTCCCCTTCGTCACTCTAACCAATACAATTGAAGAGTCTAGGGGAAAAACATGATGAGTGCAATTTTGTTAATTTTACAGGAGAGACGAAAAACGGCTGTTGGTTATCAGATTCTTTCCCTGAAGATATATGTAGAGTTTATACATTTTGTAGGGACCAGTTAGACCTATACCATCATATTATGAAACTCTAAAATTATGAAATTGGTGCTTATCATGTTTTTTCCTTGGACCCTTCAATTTAAATGGGTAAAATACCAAATATGACAAAACATCGAGAAGGTAATTTAGAAATATGACTGTTCATTGCGTTACTTTTGATATTAGCGGCATTAAAAAGTGTGAAATTTCATTTAAAAGCTAATTTTATTAGTAATTTAATGTACTACATGTTAACTAAATTAAAAATAAAGTCACATTTTTACGTAACAGTTTTTATCCAGCTAATAATAATACTCTCCCTAACTCACCCCCTTTTACGAGTGAATTTTAATCCCGAAAGCTGAGCTTGTCCGGGGAAAGGGACGGATATTATTATTATTATTATTTGCCGTGGCGCTCCGGAGCGACTTAAAGATGATTGATAGTGCCATTTGACTTACAGGTGAGAAAAACCCCATCCACCGAAAAAACGCTAAAATTAAAAGTAACTCAAGGGGACGGTCACTTTGTTGAATTCCCCATAAGATGGCACCAGCAGTCTACTTTAAGTCGCCCCGGAGCCCTACAGCAAATAATAATAGGCGTCCCTTCTATACAAGCCGCTCAGTCGGCTTCAGGGGTTGAAATTCACTTGCAAGGGGGTGATAGGTAGTGTATTATATTATTACCTTTTCGATGATTTGTCATAATATTTGGTACCTTACCTATTTAAATTGTACTGTTTATAGAGTAACGGAGGAATAAAAATGTTTTATAGAAGTTGAGGATATTATAGAAAGGTGGGCCTTGAAATAAAAATCAAATTGTTTCTGCGTTTTTTCTAAAAAAAGTCATTCTGAGATAAGGCCGGTCGCCGCGCTCATTGAATCGCCCTGTATATTTTATTTAAAGGTTGTACAATTTATTATATATTTATGCTTTTATTGTCTTAAATCAAGTCTTTTTCATAAATAAGTAACTCATTAATAAGCTTTTTTATTTTCCTAACTGAATCATTTGGCTTTTAGAATTTATAAGAGGATAATAAATGGCTATTTACAAGCGCCATCTATTAACAAATAACTAAAACTTGTTTTACCTATTCGCCAACAAATAGCTTCTGTAAATATAGGCCACCATCATTACACGTTGGTATATTATGTATTGCCTATCAAGAATAATTTAACAATTAGTAACTGAAAAAATTGCAAAATATAGACATATACATTGCGTTCGGTCTGCCAAGTTCCTTTAACACGCTTAAATGTCATTTAAAAGCACCCTAAAAAAAAACTCTCCTGTCCCGTTGCAACCCCTGGCCAAATCGAACGCCACTATAGTAATCATGCAGGAAGGATAGTAATGAATTTCTAACCGTAATTTTTCGTACTTTCATTTATATGAACACAAATTTGCATCGATATCGGAGCAAAAATAAAAAAGTTCCATGCCTTCTCGTTCTTTTATTATCCTGATACAAAATCGAACATAAAATGCAACTAAACATTGTCCAGTTTTTTAAATACCTCCTCAACCTTCTGTTACCCTGTTACAAAGATCCAAGCACCAATGTTGCAAATTTTGTTTTTGGTATCAGGGTAACAGAAGAGCGAAAAAATATTTTAAAATGGGCGCGAAAATTAAGTTCCTCAATCAATTTACTGTATAATTTAGGGTAGGTTAGGTTGAAAATGAGTGGGATGATCTCATCGCCTTCCACTGCGACCCAGATGGGTCTATTGTGGCTACAAGCCACACCTTTTGATGAAGGCCATGGTTGAATTGGGTGAGACTTGTTTAAAGTCGGTAGGCTCCAGTCGGGTAAATCCGAAGATCTGGAACCTGGTTCTTTCCAGAGCGGAGCAGGTACATAGAATGTGCTCTGCAGACTCGTCCTCCACGCTGCAGAATCAACAGTCCGATGTTTGTTGCAGACCTATCATTTTCATGTAGTTGCCCAGACGACAGTGTCCTGTCATCAGTCCAATGCGTAGATCTTTCCTACACTATTCTCGGATCTGAGCAGAGGCGTTCAGAGAAGGGTTGGTTATAAACGCCTTCAAATGAGTTAGCCCTGAGGTGTCTCGCCAGTTCGTGAGTGTTTCACCCTCCGTCCATTTTGAGATAATTCCTTTGGCAGTGCTTTTTGCAATGCCCAGGAATGGTTCTGGTCCTATGAACACAGGTTCGGTTCCTCTTTTAGCAAGCGCGTCAGCTTTTACGTTGCCCTCCACACCACTGTGCCCCCGAACCCAGATCAAAGTAACTTTGTTCCGAGCACCGAGACATTCAAGGGTATTTATACAGTTCCAAACCAGCTTTGAGTCAACTCGATTGGAGCTCAGGGCCTTAAGGGCTGCCTGGCTATCTGAAAAGATCTTTATAGTCTTGTTTGCGGGGAGAAAATTAATCAACTCTCTCGCTCCCAATTCTATAGCGATCATTTCTGCTTGGAAGATTGTGATCATAGAGACTAGGTTTATTGATATTTCAACTCTAGGCCTCTGGCGGAAAACTCCCGCTCCTTTTTCAGTTTTGGAGCCGTCCGTGTACAACGCCTAGTCTGCATGGGAGAGGGTTTTTCCCCTCTACTTCATGCGTCTCTCTGGGATGAGGACTCTGTATGGCCTTTCTATGTGCTATCGGGGCTAGCGAGTCCGAGACCATGCCGAGGATGGGGTGGTTATTAATTTCACTCATCAGCCCCATCTTGTCCCACATCCTGACCTCCCTTTCCAGCAGAATGTGGAGAAGGGTTAGGTCCAGCGCAAAATCAAAACCTCCTCGCTTTCCTGTTAATCTGATACAAAGATCCAAGTACCAGAAGTTGCAATAAAATTTTGGTATCAGAATAATAGAAGAGCGAGGAGATATTTTAAAAACAGTGGAAGTTACTTAATCAAGTTACTGCATGATTTAGTTCCTCTCTATAAAAAATGGTTTAAGACTACTGGCTTCTGTCCCGGAAATCACCAAAGATAGAGATTTATAGGTTGTTTTTTTAAAACGCAGAGATGTGTGCCTTTCATGTGCATATTGGTAGATACGAACTGTGCCTAATGGCCCTCCCCTTTGCGAAGGGTTATGATTTCCACTGATTAGAGTATTATAGTATCTCCACAATTATTTTAAGTTTTTTGGCGCTCCTCTAAAATTGACTTACCTTTTACGATGGAGGTGTCGATATGTATATCAGAAATAAGAGCACGTCAGCTCTGCACATGGTCAATTTGTGTAGTTAGAAATAATAAATTAAAAAAAGAACAATAATATGCAAAAACTTTATCAAAAAACTTTGTAACATTTACAAAAAATATAATTAGTTTTAAAAACGAATAGACATGAAAAAAATGAATGTATAATCCGAAGCGAGGAAAATAAAAGATTTTAAAAACAAGATTTTCAAAATCGACTTCAAAAAAGTAGAGTTTTATGATTGTATCATGGATCTCGTCTTTATATGGGACCACCCCTGAGATACCCCCTTTCTAAAAAAAAAATATTCCGACGAATTGACAACCTGCTTCATTTTTTTTTTTTTTTTTTTTTTTTTTTTTTTTTTTTTTTGAAGTCTGTTAATAATAGGAAATCTGTAACCGCAACCAGTTCTTAATTATAAATAAATTCTAAAATTGTATTCTGTAACGCAGTGGCGTAATAAAAGCCTTTTCATGTATGTACATTTATGTATACATGAATGTCATATCCCCCATCCCAAAAATCTAAGCCACTATAATTTGGTGGTTAGTTTTAATGCTAGGTGTATAATTTTATAATAATCAAATAAAATGTGTCCCATTATAAAATTGAAAATCTATATGAAAGAATATTTGACCTTTTAATACTATGGGACATTTGAGATAATTTTGGGCTAAAAGAAATTGCATAATTTTGATTTTGTAACAATCATTAAAATCATAGAAATCATGAAAATAAAATTTAAAAAAAAACGAACAAAAAGGAATCATGATGAGAGTTGTGCAAAATAAAAATACTCTAATTGTAGCTTATTATACTAAAATATTTCTTAATGTTTAACCTCCTTTCATTTCCTAATATTACTCATCACAGTCTTCGTCATAAGATGACAATCTAAAACTGAATAAAAAAGAGGTAGATATATCTCAAAGAGAGCATGCTAAAGTTGACACAAACACCCAGGATTAGCTACCTATCCGGTGTAACAAATCGTCCTTTGTTCCTGTTGTAATAATGGATTAATTTGGTAAAATAATTACCATACTCTTTACCTCTTTCGACATGAACATAACTGATGATCTGAAAAACCAATAAAATCATTGTTTGAAAGTTTTGGACATTACCGAAGATTCTAGGGAATCTAGGTTTCAAACTTATATTATCTACGTTTTAATCGATGTGAAGTCTGTAAATATTGATATGGGAGTTCTTCAGGGCTCCATTTTGAAACCAATATTGTACGGGTTGTCCCAAATTGGTAGGTTTTGCAGGATATCCCGAAAACTAGAGGAGATTTATATTGAGAATAGAACTACAGAACACATTTAACAATTATGACAAGGAAATACAGGTACTAATTAAAGAATTTAAACAGAACAAATGGATAACAACATGTGAAAATACAAAAATATAGAAGGTAAAAATTACTGGAGAGAAATAAAAAAAAAACATTTTAGAGGATATATGAAGTGAAGGCTGACAATCTTACATAAGAGAAACCATGAAACCAATGGAAGTAAGGCTACAAGAACATAAAAACCATAACACGTTGAAAAACCAATTAAACGAAGACAATAGAATTTCGAATCCTAGATTTAGAATGTACAGCTATGTTGATACATATACATACCTCATCCTTGACAAAATCAATCCAGTGTATTAGAGCGTCAAACAGAGTTATTTGTATATTATCCGAAATTTGCCTATTTTCCATGAACAAAAGTTTGAGCAATGATATGGTACATTTTCTAATTTCATCATCGAATTCCTATAAAAATGTACAATTTAAAAAAAAATCGTATTTGCTTATCTCTTTATTCTTCAAGCAAACTGTGTCAGACTTTTAAATATTAAAAAAATGAAATATTCCAACTCAGATTTAACATTGTTTTAGATAAAAGAATAATTACTTACAGCATAATAAATTTGCGGCTGGTATTTAGTATCATGTTTGACAATTTTCTGTTGGATTTCTTTGCACGTATTGTCATAAAAATGCCTGTCGACTTTTGATTCTACACTAGGCGTTACCATAAATCTGTACGTAAGTAGCAAGTCTCTTAATACGGGGAAGAAGCTGTTTTCAAATTTACATGAACCTCTGGTTACTTCATCTACATAAAAATACATAATTAGTCGATGCTACTTTGATGAATGATCCAAATTTTATTTATTTACTTATACATGTAGTGTTTCAAAATTGATAGAATATCTAAAAAGAGATATTTAAAAAATGATACAGTTGATAGAACTCTGTAAAAAATTGGGGTTGTTTAATAAACATCTGTCCTAAGAAGAGAAAGTTAATGAGTCTTCTACTGCTGCTGTACTCCCCTAGCAAAAGTGAGGCAACGAATTGTTCTGCAGTTATATATTTTAGATCAAATAGAGTGCAAGCAAGATTTATAAAAAAAAATAACAAAGTTCAAAGTAAAGGAAAATAAATCATTGTTTAATTTACGACTTTAAGGCCCCATAATGATGAAGATTCAGTACAAGTAGACACGATTTTGTTAAACTTTTGTGAGTTTAGAACCCAACTACTCAATATAATCACCTTACCTAAGAATCCATTAAGATACCAAACTCGTTTGGAAAAATCACATACATAAAAAAACATAAACAAATAAAACTGAAAATGAAAGATTTAATTGACTGCTGGGCAGGTAATCAAAAATGTCAAAAGAAAATAAAATATTATTAGCAGTAATTATTCCAATCTAGACATATGGCATAAAATTGGGCTGCAGTCCAAGATTCTGCAAGCAATAGTAGACGCTTCCTGGTAGGTATCTAACCAGATGCTACATCAAGACCTCTGTATAGCAACGGTTTAGCAAAGAAGGCAGAAGCATTACCAAAGATTGGATTCACATTGAAAGAAAGAAAATATTAGTAGTCTGAAAAGAAACTCAGGATATTTGTGGGACTTTAAAATTAGTCTCCAAATTATCAAAATAACACATAGTAAATTCTGACTGTTATTTAAATAAATTTTAAAAAAATAATCGCCTGTTAAAATTTTTAAGTCTCTAAAAAAGAGTTGCTTACCAAATATAGTAGAAATTTCATGTAAGATATTAAATTTCTTCTTAATTGGCAAACTATTGAACAAAAATATAAGAACTTCTTTTGGACTGTTAAGCCTCATTTTCATTTTAACAAGTTCCTCGTCAAACTGTTCCGATATAGGATACTCAGATAACTAAAAAACAAAACGAATGTAAAATAAATCAAAAAATGATCAATTTCCAACAAACCTTGCTGTAAATGTGAATGTACATTATTGATTGTACATAAAACTTGGTAATGTCGTTCTGATTTGATAGTAGGAACCGTTTCATCAAAACTTCTCTCATAAAAATGTTCAATTCATCAGATCCCAAAATGTGAACGAATTTGTAAAAATGTTCAGCATCCAATTTTATATAGTCGTCGAAAACTAGTTCTTCTATTGATGATACACAGAGTCTAATCAAACAAGGGTCAGCTACAACTATTTCTTTAAATACAAATTTAATTACTTCTTCAAATTCATGAGTCATCCTAAAAATTAACCAATAGAATCAATTTTTTGAAAATTTTTAGCTGGAATGCAGTTTTCACTATATAAGCTAATTTACAATTTAATTCAGAGAATGTTAAGGTGGTTACAAGCTAAGATTGGCGTTCAACAAGTAGACATCCATTAATAAATAGTGTTAGCAACTAATCACAAATAATATTATTTTTCGACACACACAATATCTTCTGCAAAATAACGGCTGTTTGCCACGAGCTAAGGCAATAGAATGAATCAATCGCCCGACCGTCAGCGGTCAATTTATAGAAATATTATTACTGACGCATCCTGATAGGTATGTTTCTAACAATAGGGTTTTATTTAAAAATTTGTATGTCTTCTTAGGAAATATACAGGGTGAATCTCAAGTTGATACTTTTTTAACTGTATAGAAATTATTAAAATAAACAAATTTTTCAAATCGATTTTTCAAAAAACTCAAAAATAAGAAACTTACGTTAATTTATTCCAAAATTGAGGGCGAGTTTTTGGGTGGTGCGTAATTTGTGATGGTGCAGGCGCGACGTAGGTGGTGTGAGGTGCGGACGTGGCTTAAGATGGGAGGGGGGCGTTTTTTGTGTTGTTGGGGGTGTGGTTTGTGATAACAAAGGCCTTATCTTTTGGTAATAAATTTTGGTCGCCAATTTTAATATTCAAGTACATATAAAAGAAAACAACAGAAATTTCGGAGTGCGGTCCTGTCTAACTTAATACACACTATACAACATTATTATAATAATCAAATGTGTATATATTCCTCCAAGTTTTGGAAAGCCATTTATCTTGTGAATCATTTTAGAAAAAAAATATAAGTCATAAATTTATTTAAAAATTTAGTCTACTCCTATTACTTACCAAACACTATACTTAGTATTTAAATTAAAAAATACTTTAATATAATGTGCCATTTAATTGTTAATCATAAAATCAAAAATAACTTACTCTTTGCATATAGAATAATACAATTTAAATGCTGTGATTTTTATAATTTGGGATTCGTGGTACAAAATGTCTTCTAAGTATCTAAGTACTGTTGGTACTTTCCTCTTTGTCATCATCGCCATTGTAGTGAATAAAGTAAGCATTTGGATATAAACGTCTGGCATATTTGTTCTCATCTCTACAAATATTTATGTCATATAATTAAATCATGTATATAAGAAAATTTTAAATTTTTATTACAAATAATCTATTTTTTTATTATAAAAAGCAAACATAAAATGTAGTAATTTATTATGCTCAGATTGACCTCTAAAAGTAAATACAAAAAATATAATCTTACATATTGACTCTACCAATTATTGTCAGTTTTATACCTCTAACTCTATCCGGATTATCCATATATTGTTCCAACAAGACCGTTACATGTTCAGACGGCATTTTCTTCATCAACAGACACAATTCATTCAAGTACAAAATAACACTATGATCGCCAATCTCTCTTCTGTGCAATCTTCTAAAAGCTCTCTCTGAGGTAACAGTCAATAGTTGATCTAGAATTGCATCATGTAATTCTATTCTAAGAACATTTCTGATTTCCTGTAGAAGATCATAGGCAGGTTTGATACAAGGTACTTGGTAAGCTTGTTGAAAAAGTGCTTCTAGCAAAAGACCATGAAGACAATCCAATTGAGGGACATGTCTTTGACTTATTGTTTTATTTAGAATTATTTTTCTAACAGCCACACTTAAAGGGCCCATTATAGCTTTAGTGGCAATCTAAAATTAGAAAATTTTAAAACACGTTTTTAGTTTTTTTATAAAAAAATTACTTCATTGAAATGGTTAATGAAATACTCGATAACACAGGTCAGTTCACTATAGTCCAAAAAATTAAGTAAACAACAGAGTAGAACTGCTCCTCCTGGTAAATCATAATTTAATTCTCCAATAACTTTATCAACTTGTTCAGACCTAAAAAAGCATTTTTTTACAATACTAATGATTATTCTTTTTTCTGTAGAATTCTCCAAGGTTCTCATCTGAGATCTCTTCATTTCAATTTAATTTTTAAAGATATAGCCAGGGGTCTCTCACTTCTGAGCAAAAAAGTACATGTATTGCTTGCTTTTATATGCTACTGCCAAGAATTACATTCTTTGAAACAGTACTGAAAACAAAAACTATCTACTGGCAAGTAATGCCACTTAATTCTATGTACTGTCAAGTACTATAGCAGTAATTTTTGGCCTAGTGTCCATTTACTGTCAGATGTGAGTAAGAAACCCCTGGATATACCTTTCTGTTTTCATAGTAATCTCTTAATTTTTACAATTTGTAAATATAAACTCACTTTATATGTTTTTGACATTTTGTGAATAGAACCTCATATTCAAATTCCGATGTCAAGAAAAGATTATAGTAATACTTCGGATCATAAGTAATACTGTCAATTACAGATGGTTTTAACATAGAACGGAAGAGGTGCTAAAATATTTAATTATTTAATAATTTAAGTAATACTGTTTATTACTGACAGTTTTAACATAGAATAGAAGGAGGTGCTAAAATATCTAATGGTGATCATTAATTTTTATAGAATTTCTCACCTCTGCAAATTCCATAGAAGTAGCATCTTGATGCATAGCACATTTAAAGAATATTTTCAAAATTGCTGCAGCTGATTCATCTTCCTGTTTCAAGGCTAAAGCACAGTATAGTTGGTGAAGTATACCCAATGATGGTTTCAAAGAAAATGGGGTGCAATCTCTACAGATAGCTTGCAAAGTCTAAAAAAAATTACAAATAATAAAATTTTATGAATATCTTAATTGGTGATATAAATTTTGGTATGCAGTAACAAAGAATTGTATTGTCTCATGTTTAGGTTAGGTTATAGGTCAGAGAATAGGATTTTAGATCGTATTTGGGGATAATTTAACAGAAAAATCAGAGTTTTTGTTATATAACTTTGGAAAATTGGTGATTTTCAATTTTTTGTAGAGACACTACCTTTAGAGATATACCTGCTATATTAACTCCAGACTCTTGTTATTATATTATTCATTATTATCCAGACTACAGCTCTTGTATAATGCATTATTATGTAATTATTGGTTAGCTATTGCAATTAGGATCGATTGTATATTTAAATAATAAATTAAAAATATATGTACAAACCTTTTCTACAATTTCACTATCAATTTTACTGCTGTTGGTCAAAAACTTTGCTACAATAACTAGTAGCCTTTGATTTTTAGGTGATATTCCCCATTTTTCATCAACAATCTTATTTACACATATAAGCATAGACACCAAGTTTATGTTTATGAATTTCGCAGTATTACCAATTTGCTACGAAATATATTTATGTATTTACAGTTTAAAACTTTTTTTATTACAAAACTTACAGTGAATATGGCATTGAGCAATGTATTATTCTTGATCATGCACAATTTTGCCATTGTTTCAATGGCCGCATTTTTAATTATCTCATCAGAGTCCATAAAATGGTAAAGGACGTTTCGCATAGCACAAGAGTATAAAACCTGGATTTTATTTACAGGAAATGTTGGCAATTCTTCAGCTATTGCAACAAGCAAGTGCATAATATTTAACAGAAATTGTTTATGATTTTTTGATTGGGTGTATAAAACCATTTTCCTTACCAACTCTTTGTAATAAGGAAGTTTAAGTACATTCATAATTATCACTGCTTCCTATAAGTAAAAAATATTAAATTGTTATTAAAAAATTAGTCAACTAGTTGGAATTTGTGCATTTTTGGGAAGTAAATGCAAGTAACACAGGAATGTGTTAAAGAAAAGCTTACCTACATATCTTCTCCCACCTAATTTAAAGTCCAAATATTTAAAACTCTAAACAACTAATGACAATAACAAACATCCCAGATAAATACTTAATTTGTTCGACCTGTACAATTCTATAAAAGTACATTGATAAACAACAGATATTGATTTAAAAAAAAATATTTTAGCAACTTAAATTAAGTTAGAGAAACTCAGGAGGAAAGTAGTATGTCTCTCCATTAAAATTAAGTTTTAAAGAACTTAAATATAGTACCCTGTTTAATATTTAAAGGAAAGAAGATAATACTCAAGTATTAATGAACATAATTAGTAGTTTCCTAATACTTAAAACATTTCAGTAGAAACAATTATAAAACATACTTGATATCCATTAAATTGTTCTCTTCCCCAAACTGTACAAAAAGCATCTAAAATATACTGAAATTGGTCTTCATCAATATTTTCCTGTAAAACATCTCTAATAAAAACCTTTAGAGTACTTCGACCAGCCATTTTATGTTCCATATGATGAAGAATACTAGTTTTTCCTAAGCATTTAAATAACCCATCTACAATCACTCGAATTCTGTTGCCCTCTGTTTCATTTAATATAATATCTTTAACAGCAAAAATACAACAAGACTGCAGTTGAGTAACTAAAACAAATACATATAAACAGAAAATAGTTTATAGATGAATGTGAAGCAAAACTTACCACTATTAATGTCATCTATAATTTCTTTGGATACAGATAACATAACAACAATATAGGTATTTACAACAACTCTTAATAAACTGGTTTCTAATTTTTCACTGAGGCAATACTTTTTAATCAATTTTAATAAGTCTATTTTCTGTTGTTCTGTTATGTGAGTTTCTTTAGCTAAACTGGCAATGGTAAACATTTGTATCTTAAACATATTGGCTTCAAAAAAGAATTTACCAATATTTGGAGTAGAAATTAATTTTATATACAACTTTGAAGCAAGTATTGTAGTTGTAACAGGGACAGTACGACTAAACCTGTTTGTACAATAATACAGGAATGTAATCATGTAGGCCTTAAGATGTCCATCAATTAGGCGTAATTGTTCCTTGTCCAGTGCATTGAATTTTTCATTTAATTCTACTAAATAACTGTCTGAATCTACTGGATAATGAAAGCTATACTCTACCAATTCCTCCAAATATTCTGCTGACCTTTTTTCATGGAGCATTTCTATCCATAGAGTGTTTACCAGTTCTTTGCTTTTTAACTTTTCATAATTAACATTTAAAGTACCAATGAAATCCATTTTATTAAATATAATACATTCACAACTCCATTTACAAACAAATATTTCAAATTTCTACGGCACAAAAAACACTGGATTCGTTTTCATTTATCTCTCATGTTTGTTTATAGATGACAGTGACAGATTAGACTGACAGATTGACTGACATATTTTACGCCCGCTCATTTTTATATACAATGTTGCCAGGTCACTCAGATCCAAATATCGTATTTTATTGTACCTATTTATAATAAAAAAATAATGAAAAACCACTATCCACATTTGATACAGGGTGGTTAAGTCAAAGAAATAAAAATAACAGGTACACTACTTTTCTAATAAAAAGATAAAATAAAAGAAATTAAAACATTTCTGAAAATAGATATTATTACATGCAGTGTTCCAAGAACCGATTCCACCGTTGTGTTAAACGAAGTTTAAATTACATAAACGAAGATTACAATGATATTTTTACACACATTTTTACATTAACAATGCCATCACAAATCTATGTCGGGCAGACGACCCCCTTGCACTCGTGTGGCAGCGCCTATGGTTGTTTTCCTTAAATTTATATTTCAATGCGTAAAGTAAAATATCTAGAGCATAATATGCGATATTTAAATTGTAATTGAAGTTTGTAATGAGCTAATTATTATGTCACGTATGTACTTTTTGTGAATTATAAGTTATCTCGTTAAAAATAAATTCGTGTTTCAGTTTAAAAACGCCGCCAAAGTGAAAGTATTCTTGCAAAAAATTGAAGTGATATGATTGGTATAAATTTTGTATGCCTTCGAGCCTGACCAATAAGAAGCATAGGAATGCTTAAAGCTTGCGCAGTACGAAGGTAAATCTATATTCCCAGCGATTACCTCGTGCGGGCCGGCCATATTGCTTTGAATGACTGAGTGAATAACAGAGGGCTAAAGTAGCCATAAATAAATCTTCCAACATCTTAAAGTTGCGAAGACTTTTCCAATAATAGACCATCATGGAAAATTCGTACGGAATTGGGGTTGCCAATAGGTATGCTCTTTTTTTGGACGATGAATCAGATCCATTGGAAACTCTTTCTTTGAAGGAACAAGAGAAGGAACTCAAAAAAAAGAACAAGGTCGCCGAAAAAGAAAATAAGGTGAAAACTCCAACTGTACCAAAAGGAAAACCGGCTCCGGCTCAAAAGAAACCCGTTAAAGACACTAACCATAAGCCCCAGGAACTTAAACGCGACGGTGAGTATTTTTTTTATCGGTTCAAGGCAGCCATTCTACTTATAAGATCGTGCACATGTGATAAATTGACTAAATAACGTTCAAATAGCTAATCTTTTAAGTGATTTTTCAAAATTATGTCGTGTTTTTTTCAGAAACCAAACAAACACCAAGGAATAACGCTGATGGTAAACCTGAACGGGAAAGGAATTTCAACAAATTTAATAACGAAAACCGCGAAGAAAGGAATAACAGGAGAAACCGAGAGGACAGACCTTACAATGGACCTTCCGAAAATCGGTAAGTTTTTGAGAGCTATTAATTTTGAAAATTAAGACTTCTACTATAGTTCTATTGAGGGATACTTTCTTCAATTTATATCATTTAACCAAATATCTAAGTTTGTTAGGTAGGTATTAATAATTCAGTTTTATTTTTAACTACTTACATGTTTTTCACGGTGTTTAAAATGTAATAATTTATAATTATACATATTTATCTGAAGTTTATACATAAATTATTGAACTTGTTATAAATATAAACTACAATTTTTCATTTATTTTTGGCCAGTTGAATAATTTTTTACTATTAGAATAGGATAGCATAAATTTAAATTAGTCTCTTAATATATTTTAACACTTAAATGAAATTCAAGTTCATTGAATATCCCTTGAAATTTAATATTAGAATTTTGTCTACCTATATAATTTTTGAAAATATTAATCCATACATACTTAAAAAATAATGTAGGAAAAAGTTTAGTATAAAAGGATTAAAAAAAAATAGGTATTGGCTGAAATATTAATTTTAAAATAAAGTGCACTATTGATACTAGAACCTACAAATCTGCTAACTCTGAAACAGCAAAATATATATAAGATAATATAAATATAATTTATTAAGTTGCTTCATTGTTTATAGGTAGTATGATTTTTTTTATAGTTTAATGTAAACCATGCTTCTAAATTTTAAATAATTTTATGAAAATATCCTGATTATTATTCATCATTGGAGTTGGTTTGTAATATACAGACAAAATAACTAAAATTATTAAAAGTTAAATATAGTGAAGAATTATAATATCCATATTTTTGAACAATTTAGGACAAGATTATTTAGCTAGTAGTATTGACTGACAATTTATTTTCTTTTATGCTATTCATTATGCTACTACCAACTTTGTGCAAAAGCAGGGAATATAACAAATTTAAATTAGTTGAAATTAGAGAAATTTTGCAAATATTGTTTCTAGAATTCTTTAGTGCGATGCTACATGTGAATTATGTCTAAAATCCTTTACAAACAAGAGAAACAAAACTAATAAAATCAGTGAATTTACCTTTAATCCCATACACATCACCGGGACCAAATGGGGGTATTATCTTGTGCCTTTGAAACATACAATGCCTACACAGGGCCAGTAAGAGCATTCTATATACAAAAAATGATGAAATGATGATTGTCGCTCGAAATGGTAGTATGTTACATACACCTAAACATGTATCTGCCCTCTATGACCATAGTCCTGAGTGTGCAGGAATTTATTCATTTAATAAACTGCTAGCTGATATCAAAAATATTTTTATAGTATTAAGAGACATAATTATTGGCCATATATATTTAAATAATGTTTTGTCCTCTACATGTAGTTTAATGTATCCTACATCATTGTATAGTGATCAAAAAGTACTAATATAGATGTATTTTTATTTTAATATGAAACATACCCATATCAGGAAGAGACTTGCTGTCGCTCAACATTCTGATGTGGCCTTTTTGTTATATGTATGTTCCTATTAATCTTTGTTCAACTTATTGTAAGGTATTGAGCAGGAAAATTATGAGTGCTCTACACCATTTTATAACTAAGATGGAGGAAGTAACAAGAAATAGTTCTAAGAATTGTTTGCCATAGGAACTTTTGACACCTTCAAAGCTGATGGATAGAAGCCATGTTAAGCAGATGAATTGTTGCTATAAAAGATTACAAAAATAAAGTGTTGTTTATTAAATATATGTGCTTATTGCTATTTAACAATTTTAAATTGGTGATATCATTTAGTTTGAATATATAAAGTATCACAATAGCATACATTTGATGGCTTATCAACCATTCTCTTTAAATTTTATAAAAATATGCAAGCTGACACAATATATTCTGATCTTAGTAAATCACACTTTTTTGCTATTTAAATTATAAAAGCTTGGCTTTTTTCATTCTTTTCTAACTTGACTTGGAAGCTATTAGAAATAGTTTAAATGGTGAAGATAGCTGGTAGGTCTGTCCATTCAATATGAGGTACCCTCAGGGGTTCCACAAGGTTCCCACTTAGGACCATTATTCTACATATCAATGATATTGAAGATATTATCAATATAGTAATTTTCTACTTATTACATATATAGTAATTTTCTACTTATTACATAAAGATAAATATATATTCATTAATAGTGCTAGTTATTGTTACTTTTTTACAAAGTGATATTAATGCACTGCATGATTGGTCTGTGGAGAACTGTATAATATTAACAAGTGTTATACAATTACTTTTGGTAGAGGACATGACTAGAATTTATTTGATTACTCAATGGTTAATGAAATAAAAGATTTAGGGCTACTCTTGGATCATTTGTTCCTCATCCCTCCCTTGCAATAAATAAAGCTTTAGGTTTTTTCTTAAAGAACTAAAAAAAAAAAAAAAACATTACATTATTACTTAATGCTTGTCATTTGACTGACTTAAGGTTATATTTTTTTTTTTTATTTTAATGGGTATTTCCCCTATAAATAAATACATGTTCTATATCTAAACTAAGAGATGCAAGAGGTGCACTAGGTTGCATAACTTTTAACTGTATATTTCTCATAAAAAAAGGGAACGTGATGATAGGCCAAGGAGAGAACCTGCGACTGGTGACAACTTTGAAAATCGTACTCGTGACCGAGGAGAAAGACGAGAACCTCGCGAACCAAGGGAACCGCGTGAACCACGGGAACCGCGTGAACCGCGAGAGGGACGAGCTATAGGAAACAAACCTGGCGGCCCTCGTGGACCTAGAAGGACTTTTGACGGAGACAGACGAGGCAAACGGGAATTTGACAGACAAAGCGGATCCGACAAAACGTAAGTAAGAATTGTAGGACAGGACAGGACTCTGTTATCTACTTTTAATCTATTTATATTAAAATTTTAATTTGTGCTTAATAAAATGCTCTATAATTATCAAACGGTTAGGAAGGAAAAATCAAAAGTTGTTTAAAAAACGTGTCCCATACATTTTCAAAATGTTAACACACTGGTGTTAACATAAAAAGTCATAAAATAGGAACATATAATAAACAGTGTAAGTACATAGTAAGGATGAAAGCATTTAATTTTCATTGTCAGCCATTGGTATTACATTGTGATTAAAAGGACAGACAATATTCATATTTTCAATTATCCTTTTTGCTGTAGCACATGTTTGTCTTGGCTTATCAGAAAATCTGGTAAATACTTCACAAATTCTGTTAAACACTTCATCTCATTCGACATTTATTAATAACAAATTCATCTAATCATTGATAAACACTAATCATGCCATTTTTTTCAATAATTTCTTCTGTAATCTCTGATAATGTTATGACAGTTTGATACAATATTGAATTTGCCCACAACCTATGATAATATTGACTTACATAATATCAATATTTTTGAATTATCTAAAATTAATGTAATAAACGTTAAAAAACACTATCATTAAAAATGATATAGATATAGTTAAAATTTGGTATACTGGTAAGGATACAGAGATGTCAATATTAGCACTAAATAGATTACCCTTAGAAATCCTTTTTATCCAAAAAATGCAGCCTCTAGTTGACTATTTACATACCACATCCTACATATATACTTAAAACAAAAATAGGCAACATTTGAGGCACAAATTCTTTAATTTTTATATAAAAATAGTTTTTAAGATAGATTGATCTATAATACAATTTTTTATTCATTTTAATTTATTTGTTCAATGATCTTCTTTTTTTTTTTTTTTTTTTTTTTTTCATTATTCTTAGGAATAAATTAATTTTACTCTTCATAATAAAATTATGATATTCTATAAATTATTTAATTTCTAACTGAAGAGTATTCAAATATCAGATATTATCAATAGGGCAGATTAGGTGTTAATATTTTAATACAAAATTAGTAAAATACTTTTATGAATCTATTAAATGTTTGTGTAACCTAAAAGATGCAAATTGATACATTTTCAAAATTATTCCAAACTAAATAGCGTTTGCTCATCATAAATCTAATTTAATTACATAATTAAGAGATGTTTTTATTAAAAACTAGTTTATAGACGTTTTGCATCATGATTGTTTCCATAAAAACAAGCTTTAAAATAATCAAGTTAATTTTGGTGAATGCACTCGTGGATAAAAGTATTGCTTCAAGAGTTTTGTAGATTTATATTTTTAGTAAATAATTAATATTAAAAGGAATATGATGTCTTCCATCTGAATCCTGGAGATTGCCCAAATATTTGCAATAATTTTGGTCATGAGTGTGTACCAAATTAATAAAAAGTTACTCAGTTATCAAAGTTCTTGTATTGGTAGGTCTAATGAGGAATATTTAGGGAAATAAAACAAAAATATATATCAGTTAGGAGTCCTGCCCTTTTAAGTAGTTTAGAAACTAAAATTAATCTTGTTTGGTAATCGACACCAATACTGAATGCAGCCATGGTTACAGAGGAGTTAAGCCGATCGACAAGCGTGATGGCGGTGGTGCTCACAACTGGGGATCACATAAGGACGTTATTGAGTAAGTTAAATCCTCTAAAATAACATGCAACAACTTTTCAAACGTTGGGTCATTTTAAAGGGAAGCTGACAGGCCTACGACTACTGATGCCAATGAAAGTTGGGGTGATGAAGTTAAGATTGAACAACCAGAACAACCACCACAGGAAAAGAAGTTAGTACAAAACTCCCAAGTGAATTGAACAATTTAATTAAAAATAAATGTTGTAGAGAGGAAGTAGAAGCTGAACCAACTCCTGTTGAAGAAGAACCAAAAGAATTGACCTTAGATGAATGGAAAGCTCAGCGTGCTGGCCGTGTTAAGCCAACATTCAATATTAGGAAAGCTGGAGAAGGAGAGGATCCGAGCCAATGGAAGAAGATGTTTGAACTTAGGAAAAAGGAGAAGGATGAGGTACTGAACATTATTTTTATTATATTTTACATTAATAGTAACTAAATTTTGCATAAGAGTAAAAATATATATTCTAGTACTCTTTATTATATTAAAAAGTTTTAAATTATTGATTTATATACAATTTATGTATATATAATACAATTTTTTTTTTAATACCTATGTAAATTTTCTTAATAAATATATAACTAATAATAAAACATAAACCTAATAATATTTTTTATAAACTAATAGCCAGCCGCCCGATTATTCTAATTTGCTCCAAACTAGAGATATACAGGGTTTTTAGATATTCAGTGGGTTTGTGAATAATTTTCAATTCCAGTGATATATTTTTTTGTCAAATAACTTCCAAATATTTTTTAATATACTGAAATCTGACTTCCTGTCTTTATTTAGATATAGACATGATTGAAACAGTCAAATTCGCCTTTATTGTAGTAAGAGCGTTATTTTAAATGGAGGTCTAAGCTGATAACAATTTTCATAGACAGTGCATGTACCTCTACTAGTTCCTAACGTCCTTAAATGTATACATCTATTTAATAAAGAACTAGTACTGCTTTTTACGTTGTATATTTTTTATTTTTGATACTATAACTTGCAAACCAGACAACTCCGAAGCTACAAAATTCACCAGAGATGCAAAATTATGTATCAGCCTAATAAAGTGTAATGATTCATTGAGTAAATAGTTTTTAAATAAGGTTTAAGTTTCGTTTTTTTCTTACATTTAATTTTGGTTTATTTGTGCTGTACAAAATAAAATAAAGAGCACCAAATAGGCTATCTTAAAAAAAAAACTAAAAAAGATATCAATTTGAAATGTTCAGGAAACTTCAAGCTCTATAAGGAGACTAAGCCTAATGTTTTTGAAAAAATTGATTAAATATGGGAGGTCAAGAGGGTTCTGTTAAACTGTAAAAAATATAATATAGAATGCCAAACATTATATTCTAGTACTAGTAATTCTTTGTTTTACTAGTTTTTAAAAGATTTCTATGCTAGGTGGAGTGAGCAGGGTATTTAAGTATATCAACCAGTTGCTGGCCTATCTTTCCAAAGTATCTACATTCTCAATTGAATTGATAAATCACAGAAGATTTGTATCATCATTAAAGTGATAAATGTGTTAATATATTCATTTGAGTGTAAAATATATGCAAATAAAAGAAGCCCAATGGTATTTTTGGTCCCAGTCAACTAATTCTCTCAATTTTCTTCTGGAACTAACTCTTCCTCATTCTAAGGTAGTCCTCAACTTCCTTTTTCTAGTTCAATCCAGGTATCTCCCTTTCCTAACAGACTCTTCCTCTAGGGATAAAAATGTTTTAAACATATTTTCAGGAATCGGAAGAGGAAGAATATGACGCTTCAGAATATCCCCAACGGGTTGGACGACAAAAATATTTACTGGATATCGACATTCAATTTTATGACAGTGCTCGCAGGGGCGGCGGACGTGGAAGAGGACAAAGATCTGGTGGTCCGAGGGGTGGCAGCCGTGGCGGCGGCGCCGTTGGTGGTCCTGGCGGTGGAGTCGGTGGCGGCAATCGCGAGGAACGCAGAGACCGTGGACCCAATGCCGCTGACAGTGAACGCCGTCCTAGAGAAGGGGGCGACAGAGCAGAAAGACGTTACCATAATGATGCTCAGGTAAAAAAACAAGTATGTACATTTTAAAGTCTAGGCATGAGTTATTCTTTCCTTATTTTGAATGAATTGCCCATACCGTGACATCCATGCCTATGAATTTTGTTTGATTTATTTAATTTGAAAATTACCAGTACACTTTTGGTTGCAACAGTTTTGCTTTCACAATATTTGTTTGATAGTGAATTCTAATGAATTTAAGTTGAAAAATAGATTTAATTAGTTTAGACTAACAGTTTCAAACCTATTTTTGTGTGAGGATTCTTAAAAGTACTAAAAAATTTTATCCCTTTGTTTTACATAAATGCTTCAAATCGTCCGCCTCATTTTAAAATAAAATAACTTTATGTCTACACTTCTGCTACTTGTAGATTGTGATACCTTTATCTCCAATTAATACTTAATTTTCTATATAGGACAGGATATTGAATGTAATTAGTAATTGTAGTAAAATTAAGGTTTGAACAATATAAACATCAATTTAGTTGTTATTAAAGGTGTAATACTTAAAAACTATTAAACATTGAATTATTATCCTAATTTAATGGATCATTGAAATTTCAGAGTCTTAAAAAATGTTGAAAATGTAAAACTAGATGAGCCTTTTTAAGTTGCGGGATATATTATTAAGTATTTCTGGACTCAAATGTTTGATTTGTTACTTCAGTTTGCACCCATAATGCATGACTCTTACTGCTGATGCACACAAATAGAAATTCATCCATCATTTTTTTTGATAATTGTTAACAATTTTGTTTATGTTGTGATTTTTTTAACTTTCGAATTTAGCGTTTGTTTTATGTGGAAACTAAATTTGTTGTTTGTTTGAAGGACATTTGTTAGTAGACGTAGTCCGCTTTTTTTTTATTTTCATTATATTGACTATAGGTGGACCAAAAATTAAATTCATTTATTTTTAAATATATAGTATTTAAAAATCAAATTTTCCAATCATTTAAATAACCCTATTTCATCTTAAACATGCTGTTTAACAAATAAATAAAAAGTAATAGCAAGATGACCTAAGTTCAACCTTCACATTTTTTTTATATGGGTCCTCTAAAAATCCGTAAATTTTCCCGGACATAGGATGGACCTTTAAACTTTTTAGATGTCCATATGACACAATAAGCACTGAAGATTGTCTTATGCCAAAAGCACTTTGCATTTTCTAAATAAAACAATTTTGCATGAAATACAAATTTTCTTTGCTAAAATTATTAAGTAATCCTCTTTAACTGTTTTTTATATTTAATTTTCATTTTTGTATTATTTTCAACTTTTGTATTAAATATTTTCAATTTTCATATCATTGACTCCTTGGCAATCTATTGATTCCTTGACAATCCATTTGGGTGTTCCTGAAGATGAAGTAATTTACTACGAAACTGGTGGCTAATTAATTGACATTGTAAGACAAAGCTTGTTTTCTTTCTAACTTCATACTCACATATGGCTATTCTTTCCTTTAATTTCGGGAAGTGTTAAACAGGAATAAATGTCTTCATTATATTTGGGTCTCTACATTTTTTTGACATCTTTTAGGGATTCGTATGCATTCACTGCTTCTTCAGTCAAAGCAAAACGTATTCTGATTCCTAAATTTTTGTTATTGGCCTTGGTCTTTTAGGAATAAGTATAAAATTAGGATGTTTTGTGTTGCAGGGTGACGATAGGAGTGGCGAGGCCCGTCAAGCTCCAAAGGTCGATGACGAACGTGATTTTCCCTCTCTCGGTTAAGTTGGAAGGAAGCTGAGTCGGTCCTGATTTCTTCAATTAATGAGCGATTGGATAGGGGGCGACATCATCACAATAAAAATAAACTGTATATTACAATTTAACTACTTTGTTACGTCGGTACAAAAATCTGTATCCTAGACAAGAACAGGTCTTTTAGATTATTCCAGCAAGTTTTTCAAATATCTATTTCAGTGTAGACTGGAGCACCCGAATTGTAAGGGTGGTGATTACTAGTCAGTGTTACGCTGCATTGTTAACAGTTTCGTGGCTGCTCATAATAAATAGTGTCAATATTAATTTCGAATGCCTTTTTCTCAATTTTAAAGTATCTAATCTTTAATTACATAGAAGTGGCATTTTTTATTATGTATTCCTAATTTTCTTTACTTTTAATTAGTAAGCCAATATGAAAATGCAAAAAAATTAAAGATAATAATTTAAGCTATTATTATAATTTTACTATTATTTCATTTTGTGCTTCCTTGCTTTTCATTACTGATTGTAGCCTCGGCTGTATGAATATATCTAATTTTTTACATTTATGACTGAATATTTTGTATTCATCCAGAAAAGAAGTGTCAATTGAGTGACGCTTTTCGTAGAGTTACTTGAATTTTCTCAGATGTGTTAATGCGATTTACATTTAAGAAAAATTTGTTGTAAAATTTTTTGAAAAACAAATTTTCAAGTAGTTAAACGTGTATGATACACAAGATTTCTTCAATAAAATGTTTTGTTGTAACAAAAGTATCTAATTTTTATTTTTGAGTTCATTGACGCGAAATCGTTATGCATGTTTTTAAATATCGCGCCGCTTTTACGATGTTTCATATTATTTTTTTTGATATTTAACAATATTGAATTGTCTGGGTTATTGGTTAACTACATTGTTTTTAAATACAATTCTCAAATTTATTTTTCTCTAGTCATTTTGGATTCTTACATGGTGTTCTGGATATTAAGATTGTTTGTCACGACACTAAGTTATTAATTTAGTTACTAAAAAACCAGGCAGCCCTACAAAATGAACATTATTAGTAAGTACATAATTATATCCTTTTAGAATTCGTAATGAAGTTTTGCAGTTTTGACTAACCTTTATATATAACTTTGTATCAATAAAATAAAAGCTTTAGACATCAAAATAGGAATGAAGTTTCTAACGTTTTAAAATCGGGAAATATTTTAGGTCAATTATTGCAAGAAACACAAAGATGTAATTTAACAAAGTCGGCTGCAATTGCCGCGAACTTAATTTTCATTATTCGGTTTTGCTCCAAAGTTTCTCAAATACAATTAAAAACTAACCCTGTTACTATTTCCAGAGAAATATTCATCAATTACATAATCTGTGACTTGAATTTTAAATGTATTTACTGAAATTTACATATTTAATTTTCTTTGGGAGTGCATTATAGAGATCTAGACCTTTAAAAGATAGTGAAGTTTGTGTTGCACTCTTAACAACAGTTTCAAAATAATAATAATAATACTCTCCCTAATTCACCCTCTTACGAGTGAATTTTAACCCCAAAAGCTGAGCTTGTGCAGGGAAAGGGACGGCTATTATTATTTGCCGTGGTGCTCCGGGGCGACTTAAAGATGATTGATGGTGCCATTTGACTTACAGGTGAGGAAAACACCACAAACATATAAAAGTGATTTTCTATTCCGTGCACTGTGCACATTAAGAGTGTTCACTAGCTTCTCTTTTAGGTACATCGGAAGTAACTGTGTTTAATTTTATAAATAAAAATTATTGTGTTCCTTGATAAGACTTTGATTGGCATCCAATTCAAAGTTTCAAGCATTATATTATGGGAGCCAACGCCAAAAAATTTAATTTCTGCTAAAGAAATGTCAAAAATCTGCTGAATTTGACACTGAATCTGCTAAATGCGCTTTTATTGTCTTGTCTTAGCAGGGCAACATTTCTCCATACTGCCTGGTTTTTTAGTGTCATGACAAACACCCTTGACACTACAGTACAAAAAATACTGAAAGTACCTTTTTTGTTGTTGAGAAATGCACTTTTTTGTTAATACCTAAACCACTAGACTGCTTATATTAAAATGTTAAACTTCCATGCCTATTAAAATAAGTTTCAATTGCAGAATTTAACCACTGAATACCTAAAGCTATAAGTGTTGCTACAGTCGTTTTTAAGTGGTTTGGGTTTTTTAACAAACAATGCATATTGGAACGAACACCCTGTATATAAATGTGTATGTATATTATGCGTTTCAATAATAATTATCCACCCTATAAAATTTCGAAAAAACGTTATTTTTAGTTGGACATATTTTCTCATATTTTTAAATTGAAACGCACCAAAATTATAAATAAATTTCGGAAAACGAATTTCGACACGTCCATTCTGTTGCCATCATGTTTTGGTTGTATATTTTGGTTTTTACTATTTAAAAAGTACAGGAATTTTTAACAATTGAAAATTAAAAAAAAAAATAGAAGAGTTATATAGTTTTTTGCATTAAAATTAAAAGTGCAACCAGAATTGATGTATAATTAATGTTAAGATAACCCAAAATGAAACAAATCAAAATTCCGGTATTTTTTTATTTATTTCTGCTCGTCTATCTGGGACCCGACTTATTTTTAGATAAAAAAGCAAATAATGTTGAAATAATTTAATAAGTGCTTTTTTTCCGGTGAAAATTGGACCATTTAATTGGAATATTTTGCAGTGTTAATTTATACTCCTAATTAGTTGGTGCTAAAAACTTTTTTTTTTGTAGAATACCAAACTTAGTATATAAGTGCTTAATTTTATAGTGAAAACTGAGTCTTATTGTTCCCTAAATATTTTTTTTATATGATTTTAGGAAGAGGTAATTATCCCTGTAAAAGAACCGTTTTCAAGTTCAATATTTAAGAAAAATTACTGCTATCGTTTCAAAATTGCAGATTCTGATTGTATGTTTCAAACTGCCATGGTTCATTAAAACAAAGACAGTGATGATTAGAAACATATTATCGGAAGAAATCACTGTAATAATGGTGCAGTGCATACAAGGTGTTTTTTTTTTATCCTAGAAACAAAAGATTTCTTACGTATATAAAAAATGTATTTTACTGTAGGAAACAGAAAAACGAGGTATTAATTTAAAGGCTTGTGATTTCAAAGTTTCCTTTAAGGTGTGTAATTAAATTCGGGAACGTGACTTGGACGGTTTTCTGTTTTTTACTGCAATAGAAGCAACTTGTCTACATTTAGAAAAAAAAAAAGAACGCATCCAAATTCAAAAAATCTTTTTTAACATATTGACCTTTCTGCTGATACAAAAAAAATAATCCCACAATCTTTATGTGCCACTTGTGGTGGGATAACAAGGCGGTGATACTTAAAATTAATTTAATCCTACATAAAATTAATTCGTATATTTCTTATTTTTGAGTTTTTTAAAAAAGATGTTTATTTTAACAACTTTTATATAGTTAAAAATATTAAATTAGGTTTCAACCTGTATTAATATATGGTTTAAATAATCCCTTCCCTTATTCCATGACAATTATTTTTCTCCGGGTCAGTATAGGCACAATATTGGCAGAAAGACTGACTTTTAAGGACTGAAACATCAATAGTTTCACTTAGTGTTAAAAATACATTCTTCTGGGTTTTAACTACTTGCTCTTTTTGTTTTGAATTTTAAAAGGTTTTATTATCCTCATCCTAACGTTCTAATTTAATGTTTAAATTAGTACTCCACAAAAAAATTATTCTACGGGCTCGATTTTTATATAATTTAAGAATAATTTTTTTTTTTTTGTAATTTTATGCAATCTTTATTTGCAGTTAATTGAACAAAACAAAACATCCTGCATATTTCTAGAACCGATAATTTTAAATATATTTTACTTTTTTTTATAAAAATATTTAGGGATTAAAGAAATTTGAAATATTTATAAATTTTGGAAATTATTTTTTTTTTTAGATTTTGTTGTCTGATGATTTGACTCTAATGTGGATAATATTTAAAAGGGAATTTATCAATCTACCTTTATGGCCACCCTGAAATTATAATTATAGAAGAATGGTAGCAAATATGTTAAGAAAGAGTGTATTTCTTGGATAATGCATTTAATAGCGCTAATAAAACCTTTGATCAACGACGCCTTTCTCTAAGAAAAGCACTTTTTCCTATGTATTGTTCTGGAATCACTCTGTAGATGGATTCGGTAAAATCTCTTGTGCATTGCTGGTAATCGGTAAATTTTTGAATTTGGTTCTTGGTAAAAGTTTTCCTTGCGATATAAGATATATTTTTATTTACTTGAGGGGTTATAAATTTGTGGTTTAGGTGCAAAGGATTTTGGTTATAACAGAATTTTTCTTATTTACTATTTGTTAAAATGAATTAAGTTTTGACAGCTTTTATTGGTTTGCCTTTTATTTCTTTGCTAAATGTTTTCTAAATCTTGCAAACCAATGTTTTAGTTTGATATTATTTATTTTCCTTCCATTTTTTTTAACATTTCAAGCTTCCTTTTTTTATTAGTATTTTATTCATTATTTTTACTTGTTGCAATTGGGATCAATTTTTCTATAGTTGAATCTTAAGGTCTAATAAGTGAATTATCTTATGAATGATGTAACACGAATTTACAAAAAAACTGTACATACTTGAGATAATCGACTTTATCGCTTGATTAACAATCTTTCAAAAAAATCCATAATTTTTCCTAACAAAATACAAACCAGTTCTCACCAATGAGTCTTTCCCTCTATTTTATAATCAAATACGTATTTGGGTGGGTCTTACTCCAATGAGTTCTATTATTTTTTCTTTTTAAATAAGATTAATACCTAAATACCCTGTATATCGTAAATTTATTTAAACATGACATCTCTTTTTACAAACTTGATATTTTCTAATTAACTGTCTATATTTCAAACCGCACAGCTTTGTTAAATTTTGCTATGTAATTCCACTAATGGGTAATTTTCCATATCGATGTATTTATATACAAGGTGTTTCAAACCTTTTGCCATTCTTTTATAGACGTGTTGGAGAGGTCAAAAGAAAATGAAAACCCAAATGATTTATTTTGGACTAAAAAAAAAAAAACGAAAAGTTTTTGTTTTCTTTCGACATCCCCAATATGTATGTAAAAGATTAAAGTTTGGCAACAACCCTGTATATAAAAAAGGACATTAATCCCAATATAATATTCTTGATATCCTAGCAATTTACATTTTCTATTTTATTTTTGTTAATATTAACTAAACATTTTTTTTTTTTTTTTAATTACGAAATTGAAACCGG